TAGGTACTATCAGTGTATGTTGAGATCCACTATCGTGGACCCCTATTTTTTCGCTAACGTAGACCCCTTGCAGGTTGTTATAGACCCCTGGGGGTCGATATAGACCACTTTGGGAATCACTGATCTAGACAGCAAAAACTTCAAGAATCTATACTTTTTATTTTGCAGATGGCAAGTGTCTGGCTTGCACGTTCCGATCCAAGTTCATCGAGATCTCCGTCGGCATCAATCACAACGTGGACGAACTGCTCGTCGGAATCCTGACCCAAATTAGACTGAAGAGTTTCCAAAACGACAGGGACGGCAGCCAGCAGCAGTGGTACAAGAGCAGAGGCGTCGTCAGGGCGAGCATGAAGGCCCGTCAGATGTTCACGTGGCTCTTCGGCAAGGAAGATTCGAAATTCAAGAACTGTGAAAACCTCCATATCCTATAGCATTAGATTTTATACTTTACCATGAATATAATAACATGCATCCATCACGTACGCAGGGTATGTATCACCACGACCATCTCGATCGCTCTCGAAAAGCAATAGTCTTCGCAGATCAAGAGTGAACCAGGTGATTACCCAAAGAGCGCTCTTCTTTAAGTAACTTTCAAATTAAACTATATACATGTAACAATATTTCCTCTTCATTTCTTGTGGCCTAAAACCAACAACTAACACACGTAATTTGAATCAAAAGAAAATTTATTGATCCTTCCAAAAAAATGAAAATCTTATTGTTTTCCTTCTCTACTAGATTGTAATTATATAACCAGCATATTATGTGTATATTAAAAACCAAAACAAATTAAAAATAATGTATTTATAATCAAACTTATATCAAAATCATATTCGAAGAGACCAAGAAATAATGTAAAATTGTCGTACTTAGTGATAAATGTTTAATTGTAGATAACAGTCTCATATACTATATATATATTATTCTACCTATTGTTTTCTATACTATTCTATTTCTAAAAAGAAACTATGAGAAAGAAAATACTTTGACAATAATGTTGCATGTTGATCTATGACTCGACAAACTCTTTACTTGTAATATTAATAATAATTATATATGTATAAATATATATATCGAACAAAAAAAAAATATATATGTATTAACTATAACATTTAATGAAAGAAAAAAATAATAATTACGAATTAAATGTATATTTCTTCTTTTACTTTTACTGTAAATATTTTTCACGTGTAATATTTTCTTCTTCGTTTCCTTTTTTTTTTATTTCAGCTTTCATCTAATCTAATAAAAAAAAAATATGTATTGAATAGCCCAAATAATCGTGGTTATAATATGTGTAAGATGTTTCAATTTTAGTATAATTTTTCGTCTTCGTAGGGAGCTGAAGCGGAAGCTATTTTAGTAATAAATCTGAATAATACATAGATTATAAGATGAAAGTATATCATATCCAGGACCGTAACCATAATATTCTGTGGGCCTATAAAGTTGAATTAAATATTAGCGAGTCTTACGATTTGTGTTAATTGTAAATGATGTAATCACTTCCCTTCCATCCCTACCACAAACAAATGTAACATTTGCATTAAAAACCAAAGTCAAAGCAAAGATTTAAATAATATTTTATTTAATATACATTAGATTTATTCTCAATATATTTTACACAATTCACTTCTCTTCATCCTTGATGGGAATCTCCTCGGAGGCGGCCGGGGCATTCCTGAAGTTAGGGAATTGCTCCCAAGGGGCGGCCAGCTCGAACTTCCTGAACTCTTGGGCCAACTCGAGAGGTTCGATGACCACCCTCTTCTTCTCGTCATCGTAACGCACCTCCACGTAACCGGTAAGGGGGAAGTCCCTCCTGAACGGATGTCCCTCGAACCCGTAATCTGTCAGGATCCTTCTCAAATCCGGATGGTTGGCGAAGAACACGCCGTACATGTCCCAGATTTCCCTCTCGTACCAATTAGCCGCCTTGTAAACATCGTTACAGGAATCGATCGGGGTCAATTCGTCGGTGTAGGTCTTCACGCGGATGCGAGAATTGAATCTCACCGACAGCATATTGTAGATGATCTAATAAGAACGTTGCAATTAGATCTCCCAGTTAACGCAATTTACAAGCGAATTACCTCGAATCTGAACTGCCTGCTAGGCACGTCCATACCAGCGATATCAGTCAGGTTGGTGAATTGACAATTGTGGTGATCCTTGAGGAACTGCAAAATGGGGACAATACCGTCCGGGGCAATAAGAACTTCCAACTCATCTCCAGCAGTCAGCTGAACTTTCTGCACATATTTAGGCATGCATTCAGCCACATACTGTCCGAAATCTTTCAGCTGCTCACGCTGGGCAGGATCAAACTTGCGCACAGTCGCTAAAACATTGCAAAATCATCAACACAACTTCCACCACCTATCGTAAGGTAGCTCTTACGTCTGGTCTCTTCTTTGGGTTCTGCTGGTGCAGTAGTTTTGAATCGAAGCCCATTGCTGCTGGCAACCACTGAAATTCGACATATGTATTTGTATCTATCAAAGAGTAATTGTATGATCTACCTCTGTTCTGCACAATAGGTGAACGAATTGTCCTCGTTAATTGCCTTAAAATCGAGGCCATTATCGCACTCAGAAGTACCCAAAAAAACCTCTTATTACCTAACCAAAACAAATCTGTCAAAATATTACATGAGCAAGGATAACCAACATCGCAACAAGAAAAGATTTTGAAAACCGGTTAATTTGCAATTCTCATTAATTGCTTTGTTTCAATTAGTTTTATGGATATCTTAGAATTTATCTTAAATATATAAATTAAAATACTGAAGTGATTTATTGAACTTTGAGTTTTTAAATCTTGGAGAATTTGAATTTAAATTGAAACTTAATACTTTTACAAATTACCAATTGTTCTTTCGTTTTGCTGACCATAGCAAAAGATAAATATTCGTTTGGTGAATAAGTACGTTTTATGTATGGTCGTAAATCGAATATAAAAAATTGTAATTCGTTTTAAGGTAGATTGGAGTAAAAATCATTTGAGATGTGTGAAGTTAGAAGACGATGTAATACAGCTTGCTTCATAGTTGCGCGGAAGGAAGGTACCGAATATTATAGAGGTTAGTTTTTGTTGTGTTCACTTGTTTGTATTTTTTTTCTGCAATATATGTAATGTTTGCGTAGATTGCATACAGCAATTAGGGGGTGGTTCTCGTCGTAACATGCGTAGAATCAACAAGTATCAAGAGATCGAAGTATTACCTGTGAACACGTCTTCGAAGGGGGCCAAAATGGTCCGCAACATGTACTTCTCAGATGCATCCATAATCCCGAGGGTGCAGAAGGTATTTTCATTCACTGTCCCCTCAGGCAGTCTTATTAGATGTACATGGAATGCATATTTTGGTGTTTTCAGTATCTAGAGACGAACTTAGGCAATCAATACATTGATATTAACGTAATGGCAGAGGAGATCCAGAGGAAGTATCCGCGGGAGTATGGTAAAAGAAAGCGAACTGCATTTCGCGCCCTCATCAAAAAAGCGTACTCCATGTTAATACATGACTACTCACAACGCAATAGTAGTGACTCTGAAGAGGTTTCAGAAGAAGTCAACGAAGATGATACTATCAATTATGTAAGCAAACCACAACATTTCACCTGAATGTAATACAATTTTTTAACTATGTTCCAGGCTGACAATTCAATGAATAATCAGATCATGGAGATGTATAGCAGGAACAATGCCCCTAAACCGTTGGATGAGAATGAGCTGATTGACATCAGCAGTGATGATTCCCAGGATAATGAAGACTCTCACAAGTCCAATGGCCCATCCACTTCGACCACCAGCCAGGTGCAGCCACATTTCCTTGACAAGTTCTTGCCAAAGATTGCTCCCAACGAAGTCAATGTTTTCAAAGTGGCAGATGATGATCAACCTGATCCAGTAACAAATACTAATGATAGAGGGAAGAAGCGTAAACCCGATGTCAATATGACGTCGACGCCGAAGAAAAAGCGATCGTCCGTCACGCCGAATTTGGAGGAACCCAAAGTATCGTTCAAAGATCTCGGAGGAATGGATAAAACGTTGACGGACGTTTGCAAGCTGCTTGTACACATTAAACATCCGGAAGTTTATAGGCAGATAGGGATATCTCCTCCTAGAGGATTTCTGTTGCATGGTCCACCTGGTTGTGGCAAGACGTTACTTGCCAATGCAATTGCCGGCGAATTGGAGATTCCTTTGCTGAAAGTGGCAGCTCCAGAACTGGTGGCTGGAGTGTCAGGGGAAAGCGAGGAAAGGATAAGGGAACTCTTCGAAAGGGCTGCAGTCTCCGCGCCCTGCGTTTTATTCATAGACGAAGTTGATGCGATCACTCCAAATAGACAATTTGCGCAGAAGGATATGGAGAGGAGGATCGTAGCTCAGTTGTTGACTTGTCTAGATGGTAACTAATTAATTCTCTATGAAAATTAAAAATATTTTATATCGTTATTTGTAGATTTAAATAAGAACGAAAGCGGAGATCAGGTACTTGTTATTGGAGCTACGAATCGACCGGACAGCTTGGATCCAGCGTTAAGGAGATCAGGAAGATTCGACCGAGAGGTGTGTTTGGGAATTCCAGACAGCGATGCGCGACTTCATATTCTGAAAGTGTTAACTTCGAAATTGAAACTCGAGGACAACTTCGACTTCAGTAGTTTAGCAAAATTCACGCCCGGCTTCGTCGGTGCCGATCTGATGGCTTTGACCAGGGAAGCTGCGCTGGCCGCTGTGAGCAGAGTTTTTAACGATCTTAGAGAGAAACAGAAGCTGGAGCAGGCCATGGCGCTGCAATCTTCTGTGGATTGTCAGGAGAACGGAAGCAACGATACGGAATCCAAGAGCGACGCTGAGATCGTCGTGGACGATGAGAACAAATCGGATTTGGCCGATGTGGCTGTGGTGGTGAGCGACGACGATTCGAAGACTGTAGACAAGGTCGTAGCTCAACAGTCTAACATAATCAATAGCACACATTTGGAAATGAAGAACATGACGCATTTGGAAGAACTGTTGAACTGGTTGCACAACGCCTCTCCTCTGACCACGGATCAGTTGGATAATCTTTACGTAAATAGCGAAGACTTCGCGAAAGCTTTGAAATGCGTGCAGCCATCCGCGAAACGAGAAGGTTTTGCCACAGTGCCGGACGTCACTTGGGAGGATATTGGATCTCTTAAAAACATTCGGGAGGAACTTCAATTGGCTATTTTGGTAAATTACTTTTACTCGTAAAACGTTTTTGTTAAATTGCTCTTTTTATAAATATTCTAGGCTCCAGTAAGACACAGAGATCAATTCAAATCTCTTGGCTTGAACACACCAACAGGTGTTTTACTGTGCGGTCCACCGGGATGCGGTAAAACGTTGCTTGCAAAGGCAATTGCAAACGAGGCTGGAATCAATTTCATTTCCGTTAAAGGTCCAGAATTATTGAACATGGTATGCTTTTCATACATTTAACATCGCCAATCAATATTAATCAATATTATTGATTACAGTACGTTGGTGAAAGTGAAAGGGCAGTTCGATTGTGCTTTGAGAGGGCCAGAAATTCCTCGCCTTGCGTTATATTCTTTGATGAACTCGACGCTCTTTGTCCGAAACGTTCCGATTCCAGAGAGGTAATAATTCAATCATTTATTGTTGGGTATATCTTATATAACTATTTTTTAGGGAGGAGCGACCATGAGGGTTGTTAATCAAATGTTAACAGAAATGGACGGAGTTGAGGGCAGAGAAGGTGTTTACCTATTAGCTGCTAGCAACAGACCTGACATCGTGGATCCTGCGGTGCTGCGACCCGGACGTCTAGACAAGATCTTATATGTAGGACTGCCAAGTCCTGATGAACGAGTCGATATCTTAAGAACCATCACCAAAGTAATACTAGATAACTCAATTATCGCAAAGCAAAATCAACTTCTTTTTTTGTTAATTTTCAGAACGGAACTAGACCTGTGTTAGCACACGACGTCGACTTGGAGCAAATTGGTAAATGCGATCGCTGCGAAGGATACACTGGAGCGGATTTAGCAGCCCTTGTGAGGGAGGCCGGAGTGCAAGCTCTTCGCGAAGTTATGATGCAAGGAGACATGCAAAAGGCAATTCTAGTAACAACAGAACATTTTACCAAAGCCATCGCAAAAATTAGACCTTCCGTTTCCGATGAGGTAACTTAAATGACTCAATATAATAATTGTAATCTAATACAATTTGTTATACTTATAGGACCAATTGAAATACGAAAGATTGAAGAAAATTTACACCGCCAAGCCTGACGTAGAGGAAATGGAGTATTCTTAAGTTTTTATTATTTTTTTTTTATTGTTAAGAGGTATATAATATTAATTTAAAAAAATATTTTTAAAAACTTACAAATCGTTTCTATTAAAAACTTGAATTTTATATTTCAAAAAAATTAAATTAACTAAGGTGGCCGTACCCGTGTTGCTATGGTCACCTGTATCACGAAAATCTGATACGAAAGGTCGTTGGTTCGATCCTCAAAAAACCAACAAAATTTGCCGAAAAAGGCCAAAATTTATATCAATTGATATAAATCTCTTTATTTAAATAGTAGTAATAATAGTAGGGTTTCATGTGGGGCTCTAGGTAAATATATTAATTATAAACAAAGGTTATTTTTTATATTTTTTCAATTATTATTTTATTCATTTAAACATTATAAAATTTATTCTGGCTTCTTGGCCTGCTTTTGCTTCTTCTTGTTGACAATTGGTTTTTGTGACTTGAGGATAGCACTGGCCCTACGGAGAGCAGCCTAAAACAAAGATAACAACAGTTATAATATGTGCTATAGGGAAGATTATGATTATCAATTACCTTGGTCAAATCTGTACGGTATTTACCGAACTTCATCAAACGCCTCAGCTTGTGCAGAGACCTGCGGGGACCAGCCTTCATTGTGACCTTAGCCAAACTCTCCCTGGGTTTGTTCTAAAACAACAAAAATAATGTTTTATCATATTTATTTCAATATAACTTTTGTGTATTTAAACTTACGATCTTCTTGGGTTTCTTCATGACGACAGTGAATCCCTTCTTGTCAGCAGCGTCAACGATGCCGACGGTTTTCTTGTGGATCAAACCATTGTACCTGTATGAGTGCAAGTTGGTCAAGTTTTGAGGTTCCTAGAAAGTAAAACATTTATTATTTACCATGTCTAAAATCAAATCGATTCCAATCACTCATTCGCTCGCCTAATAAATTACGTACTTACAGAACTGAAAGGTTTGGTGATATTGCGCTTCTTGATCAAGAAGGCATTGTTGTTGCGGATGATGCTCCAAACTAAATGGGTACTCATTTTGCCCTGCAAAAACAAACAAAAAATATAAATAATTGCAAAAAATTAATATATCGAAATTATTAATCAAGTGTCTTTGGATATTTTAGTGGATATAACCATACTTTAGAAAAACAAACGTCAACACGTGGTATAAATCTATTAGTTTCGTGAAAACTTAATAATTACTAGCTTGAAAAACCTGAATTTATTGAACCAGACGATACATTACTTGAATCCTGTTGATTTTAGTACTGAAATATCCAAAAACTCTCTGGAAAAACAAGATTTTCTCCAAAAAACGCTCACTATAAACACTCACCTCAAAGCACGGTAAATGAAAGAAAGATGGCTACAGCAAAACCGGAAGACGTCAAAATTATTTGAAATAGGGGGCGCTGCATGTTGCATCGAATCTTTGCGCCAAATTTGAAATTCCTCAGTGTCGCCAAACTAATACGAATTTAGTGAAATCCAAATAGAAACACGTAATTAATTTATGATTTCCGATACGATTAAAAGTAATTAACGGTTTCGACGAAGCAAAGTCTAAATATGTTTGTAATTTTCGTATGAGAAGATTACTGATGTCTTAGCCAACGTGAGAAAATGACATTTAAAAAGTAAATATAATATTTAGTACTCCCCAAATGAACTTAGTTTTTAAGCTGAACTAGGATTTAGGATTAGTTTATTGTTTTATTGTGATATATAATTGTTTGCTGGAGAAGGCAACATGGGTTCTGAAACCGATGAAGTTATCATTGAGGATTCTGATGAATCAATGCTGGATTTCAAAGAAGTATGTTATATCTTATCATGTTTAGTCAATTAAAGTTAATTGACTCTAAATTTCAGTTGAATGATGCTGAATTTGATCTTCCACCAGTTGACTTGCCTTCGTTGGAAACCATACTATGGGACATGGAATCAGAGGAAGGTAGTGATAGCACTTCCTTGCACTCCCTGCAAAGTCTAACTCTGAGATTTAGGTCTATGCTATATCATTGCATTCTGCAAGGGATCTCTTCACAAATATCTTCAGCAAATGTAAGAGGCTCAACTGGAAGTATCAATTCGATAATAATTACTTAAATTAAACTATTTTAGGATCGTGTCAATGCTGGTTTACCCACAGTAATAACTAATAGTTTAAAATATGTGGCTGTGGGCACATCACATGGATATGTTTTGGCTTTTGATACTGAACAGAAGCTGTGCTGGTGCTCTCATGATAACATCTCCAATGATCAAGGTGCAATTTCTGCTTTGGCATTCAATTTGGATTCAACTAGATTACTGGTTGGGTAAATGTTGTTTAAACTTAACCATTCCTATTGATGGTTTCATTTTGTTATTTTGTATTTCAGCTTTGAGAGAGGCTACATTTTAATGTTGGATACATCGACCGGCGACGTTCTGAGGCGTTTACCAGATGCACACGCCCCCCAAACGGCGGTGCTGCAGCTTCGCTTTACGTCGTCGAATAGTCTAGCTTTAATTGGAGATTCGTCCGGTTGCGTTTTCTCGCTAAACTTCTCCAGGCGTTTGGGGGTGAGGAGTTGGGACTCTAAATGCCTATTTTCTGGTGCCAGAGGTGAAGTCTGCTGCTTCGAACCTCTTACCCAGGCCCCGGATATGCTAGGACAATTTATTGTGGTGGCGTTAGCCACGTTGTCGAAAGTAAGCGTTGAAAGTTTACACGAATTAGTGTAGTATGTAATGCGTTGTTTTCAGATTATAATCATAACGGTGAAACCGAGGCTGAGGGTGTTGTATAGTCATCAGTTGCCTAGGATACCGACGTCTTTGCCGGTGATAAGTTGGCAGCTTGTGCTGGTGGGGAAGAGCTGGCAACCAGTTTTGGCCTGGGGCCGAGGCTCCGAACTGAATTACACGCGAATCACCTTTGCAGGTGTGAACAAGAACAAAATGAAGTTATCGTCGTTGCGAAGCGTGCAGCTATCGTATTCAATGACGGCTATACATTGGATTGGTAATAGGCATTTGGCGATATTGGATACCGGCGAGAACTTGCGGTTGGTGGAAGTGCGGACGCAGAAGGAGTTGGAATTCCTGGAGTTGAACAGTGCGGGTTTAGTGTACAGCTCCGCCCATTTCAAAGCGCTCGCCGTTGGGGGTGGAGTCAGCGAGGCGTTCGCCTTAGCCGGAGACAGGGCGTGCTACAACAGCTTATCCAGCCGTGGAGATCAGCTCTTGGTGTTAGGCACAAGGGCTGTTCACATGGTAAAATTGCGGACTTGGCACGAGCGATTGCTGTATCTGAGCGATCAAGGCAGATGGACGGAGGCTTTGAATTTGGCTGCAGATGAAGGTATGAATCGGGAAAAGAGCACTACGGCATTATTGGAAAAATACTTGATTTCGTTGAGCAAACATTTCATGGAGAAGGAAAGCATTGCAGCTGCGATCAATTGCTGCGTCAAGCTACAGAAAAAGTAATTTTAGATTAAGCTTTTTATCCGCACATCATAAGTAACGTATTTTGATTTTAGCGAAGTTTTGTGCAATGGCCTGTGGGACGTCATATCAACGGATCACGCTAATCGCGAATTGTTCTTTACGATCGTAACGGATCATGTGAATTGCGGAGCTCTAACCCATTTATCGCCGAGCGTGACGCAAGCGTTGGTCGCGTATTTAAACGAAAAATCTGATCTCATTGCCCTAAAGAACCTTATCCTTTCGTTGGATTTGAGCTGCTTGGATCTGCACCAGGTGCTGAGCATCTGCAAGAAACGAAAACTGTATGAAGCTTGGATTCACATTACCACAAAAACCATAAATGACTATACCGGTCCTTTGACCGAATTCCTGGACGAGCTCACACCCGACAATCACGCTCTAGGCAACACACTTTTGGTCTACATAAGCGCTTGCCTAGCTGGGTTGGGTTATCCGAAAGGGAGCATTCCCAAAGACGAGATACTGCGCGTAAAGTTTGATGTACTCCGTTGCTTGGAAGCTTTGCATTCGGTTAGTGCCAGGGAGGACGAGCAGACGTATCCATATTTAAGAGCATTGCTAAAATACAACATTAGAGAGTGTTTGAACGTAATTAAATTAGCCTTCACCGAAAATGAATTTTCAGGCGAGATGGGTTTGCTGCAGAGGCAGCGTCTGATGGAAATTCTGATGCTCATCGTCTCGCCACCAGAATTCGATGTAAGTGAACAAAATAAATCGACTAAATAAATTGAAAGTAATTGCATCATTTCAGGAGAGCCAAATCACAATTTTGGCGTGCTTTATTGCGCGTCTGGTCACTTCGAACAATCTAAAAGTGGAGGAGAAAAATCTGAATACCGTGATCGACAGTCTCACGAACATCACGGAGAAGCCTTTGAGTCAAAGGGATCATAACGAACGAGAACAGGCGTGGCTGGATTTGCTGAACGCCCGAAAACTAAATCATTTCGATACCGACCAATTGCTCGAAATAGCACTGCAATCGAACTGTTTTAAGGTCGCCGAATACGTGTACGAATTGAAGCAGGATTACTCGCACATCCTGGCTTGCTATCTGAAGGACCCCGATCGGAAGAACGACGTGTTCAATTATATAGTGAATTACGTGAACGATACGGACAGGAGCATTAGAGATCAATTTTTGGATAACTTCGAATCGCTGATCGCGATAGACTGCAAGAAGTGCATGGACATCGTTATCGAACATTTTGTGGAATCCATCGAGGATTTATACAATTTATTAGATGGTGATGATTTGTACGTCTTTTCCAGAGAGTTAATTCTAAATGAAGTGAAGATCTCGCCGAAGATGGCCGAAACCTACTTGGAGTTGATGTGCACCAGAGATGTGGACGCTGTTTGCAGTTTCCTGCAAATGGGATTCTGTCGAGTAGAGAAGGCTTTGGAGATTACGCAAAGAAACAAAATACATTCGGCCGCTGCTTTGCTGCTGGAACAGATGGGAGAGTTCCGCAAGGCTTTAGATTTACTACTGGAGCATAATTTGACTGATTTGGCTGTGGATCTGTGCATTAGAGGCGCAGACCACTTGGATTCGGAGACGAGCCAATCACTGTGGCTTGCGTTGTTGAAGTACCCGAGAACTTCAAACAATTATTCCTTAAGACAACTGCTCCACTCCGCTGCTCCGCACGTTCCGCCCGCCCAACTTCTTGAGTTGGTCTCCGACGCTAATTTCGGCGACATAAAAAGCATACTCAAAGGCATCCTAACTGATTGCCAACATGACATCGACGTGCTAACGACGACCCTAAAATTACTCGGAAAAGATTTGCACCAAGGTGGATTACTTACATTACAATATTTATTTTATTTATGATTATTATCATTACAGGATTGGCGAAGACTTTGTGTGCGAGTGGAAAGGGTTTGTCCGTGGCGAGGACCATCTGCAATATGTGCCAAAGTCATCTGAAACAGGTGAAGAGCGAAGAACAAGTAATCAGTGTGTGGGGATGTGGTCACATCTTCCACGGCAACTGCATCAATCTGGAAGACAAGATATGCCCGGTCTGTCGCAACGAGGCTGTCTCCATCGAGTTGAATGTGATACCAAAGGTGCAAAAGGAGGAACACTTTGATGGTTCTTCGCAGCAGGCCAGGCCCGACTTGGAAGGCCATTTCTAAAACAAGCACTGTAAATAGGAAGAATTCATTTCTACTCTAGTCCAGTATTTATTTTACAGCAAACCTATTTAAATAAGTATTAATTTCCAAATTTGTGATATTAAAATGTAAATATATTTATTGTTGTAAGTTTCTGTTTTCGAAAAAAAAAAAAACATTTACTGAAAATTCAAATTTTCTTTAAAATATTTTCATTTGCAATTTAAAGCATTGCAAGATTAGATTAACAATTTTTCTAATCATGTTTTTTTGTAACTGGCAACCAAACGTACACCGATGTGTATAAAAAAGTATGGAAAACATTTATCGTCCATTTAATATTACGAAGTTTAGTTCAAGATCTATCAAATCAGAAATAAAACACGTTCAGTTTAATTTTAGAGCAAGATTATTGCCCAAACAGGCAGTAATAATACAAAGGGACAAATAAAGAAAGTGTCAGATAGAATTCATTATTTATTAAATATCAAATACATTTTTGGAGTTTGTTGTTGAAATATCTGAAATTAAAGAAAAAAAAACATTAAAAATAAATCTAATGAAATAAAATTATTATTATTGACTTAAGTGCATCAGTAGTAGCAAATTGTAATCATAGACACTCAGAGATCTTGGTGATTCAAAAGTCATCATAACAATAAAATACACATTTACATATAAATTATCTTTATTACAAACCTGAAATATTTAACAGCTGCAGCTCCATCATCCATTTAACATGGATATTCCAAAATTAACCAGAACTATCTGTAAATAATAAAAACAAACTATTAGGATTCATTCATAATCTTATAAACATTTCTTAATTTTTTTTATAGTTGTCAGACATAAATGTATGTTGGCTTCATGTATGTATCAGCCGGCATTTCCTATCATTATTGGATCATCATTTGAACTTTACACTTTTTTTTTAAATTTATAATATAAAATATACTTACATTAAAATATAATCAGCTTCATTTCCTTTCTTCGCCCATATTAACTCCACATCTGTAACAATAAATTTTGTTTTAATATAAAATAAATAAATTTTTATTTTATCAATTTTTCTTATGAATTGGATTGCTTCAGAGTAGCAAATGGTTTAATCATAGATATCATCGATCTTGGTGATATTAGTTTAGTCATCATTTAATTCAAATTTGTTAAATTTGAATCACAAAAATCAATTTCTTGCATTTGTGAAACTAAAGGACAAATATTTACCTTGAATTATACATGGGAGGAAGATGTTCTCTGGTGATGACCATTGTCTTCATCTCTAGTTGAATAAATTCATACTTAAATTTCCATAATCAATGCACTACAGCATTGTATTATAATTTTCGTTCAATTGAATTTTCTTGTAGCAGCATCAAGAATGCCACCACATTCATTTGTTTCAGCAGCCATTTTCAGAAGATCTGTAACAAAAATTAATTATTAAAAAAAATAATTCAAATAAGCTTAGTATTAGGCTTCAGTTTGTATCTTTTTTATTAAATATTTTAATGGTAGAAACTAAATGCATGGGACGCCAAAAACACGTGCTCAAATTGAGGTTATAAAATTAATATTTATCAAACGTAGAGTACTTTGTAACAATTTCATAACAAATTTAAAATGAATAAATAATAATTTTATACAAATTACCAAAATATTAAAAAAAAAAAATAGATATAATAAATAAATAGATGTTCACACTTACCAAGCCAATCGGAAAATGAAAAAAGTATGGCGATGGTGGAGCTTTTATCCTCCGGAAATTACATCTTCTACACTTCCTCCTTCAGAGGGAGCTTTTATGAGCGGTAAATTTAAATATGTGTATGTTTGGTTGCCTGAATTCCAATAAATTAAACCTATCTTATTGCTTTCATATGCGCCACCTCTGCCAGCTGGTAGAAATAGAAGAGGCTTTCATATATTACTAATTGCTTAGAATATCAGTAAAATATAATAATTGAAGAATGGATTGCTTAGTTACAGAAATACTTTTTTTCAAATATGTATTATCTTTATTAAATACTTTCATCTAGAAATATAATTAAGAGTAACTATCATTTAAACTGTAAGTGGACGGATTAGTTAATATTTGTGTGGATTTTCAAATCCCTAAGAGATCATCTGTAGAATCCAAGTTCATATTGGCTTCTGGTGAACATCTGCAGTAAGGGCAATAGCCTTTTTGCAGCATTTGAAACTCGAAATCGTCCACGTGAAAGGCCTATAAAAAAGCAAATGTTTAGTTTGTGAGAATAAGTCTAAGGCCGATTACATACTTTAAAGCAATACTCGCACATGGTTATTTGCAAGTCGGGTAACAAATTCCTATAAAACTGGTATTTCAACGGAGGTTCATACTTGCAGACCAAAACCGTGGAGCTATCGATATTCAATAAATCGTTGCGACCCAATACGATCGAAGCTAACTCTTTGTCATTTCCATCTAGATTCAGACGTGTCGAGAAAGGATCGCTAGATTTTCTGTTAAAATTTCCATCCAACTGTAAAGTCTGATGCGTTTCTGTGATCTCCTGCTTCCATTGATCCTCGTCCTCGTTAATGTCGGACGGAGGCGTGTCTATTAAGCGAACCGCCTCCGTGTCGCTAATGCCCTCCTCCAACACGAACTCGACCAACGGCAAAATCTCGAAACTCACGTACGAGTGCACGAATTTCTGTCCGCAATTAACGCACCTGTTTCCCGTCGCCGCCAAAGGGTTATAAGTGGAGCACCTATAACACATGGGCAGAAGATCTTCGGGGTCGCTGAACGGTTTGGCCCTCGCGGCGATTGTCGCCACTTCCACTTGTTCTTGGAATTTCGTCGGAATCTTCATGGTTTGCATTTTGTCCAGTAATTGCTTCGTGAGTTTATTCGCTCCCAGTTTCCGCGCCTGCTTCGAGAGGCAATACAGAATGTTGCTTTAACCATTATTAAGGAATTTCTTCGGAGAAACAAATGAATAATTAATTGTGCAAATTAACAAGGATACAATAGGGAAACGCCTTTGGGCCGCTTTTGGTTGGTCTCGGTCATCAAGAAACGCGCAATGTTGAAAAGAGCTTCGGGCATGAACGACGTAAATGGCTCTTCTAAATAACGATGCAACGAGTGGTAAGCGTAGTAAATCCCGGCCAGCCTCTCATTCTGCACGTATTTGGTAATCATTTCATCGAAATTGGAGCTACAATATTGACCTGCTGTATTACTTTACTTCAATGTAAATCATATAAATCAATACCTGGATTCTTTGGCTAAATCTAAGCACTGTTGGGCCAAGATCAAATAGTAGTAACCGGCATCCTGAAATCTGCACTCTTCCACAGCATTTTCGGTTAATTGCTGCAAAACTTTGTACGCTTCATCCAATCTACCAGCTTTATGAAACGCCTTCTGGGCTTGAACGAACTTATCGTTTTCAGCCAACCAATGGGCGTATGGCACGTAAACTAGTTCCTTGTGTTGCGGTTGGCCCTGGACGATGCTGAATGCTTGAGTCCACTCTTTAGCCTCCACGTGCAGTTTCAGAACTGCAGCAGAGTCTCCCAACCTTTTGTAAATTTCAGCCGCAGCCCCGGACTGCTTTAGCTGCTTCAGGTGCTCGGCAATTGCCAGTAGAGAGACACGTTCAGCTTTATCCAGTCTACGACCCACATCAATCAACTGCTCAGACCAGCCTTGCTCCCCCAAAATCTCAATGGCAGATTTAGTATCACCAATGGACAAGTACATATCCACTGCCGCTTTATGCTCGTTTATGTTTCTAGCCCAATCCGCCTTCTGTCTAATCAAGGTGCTATTGTCGTTAGATCCCAAATAATCCTAAAATAACGATAAATTAAATTTTGAATATTTAAATAAAACATCAATAATTAACCTGCGCTTGATCGAACATTCGCAAATCTGTGTACATAGTGAGCGCCTTATGTTCTTGTCCTGCCTTCTGATACAACCTTGCAGCTTCCTTAAATTTCCCCCTGTAAGCGTAAACATCTCCGATCATAACTTCCTTATTGTTGTCTCCTTTCTTCATTCGTTCCAACATATCCCTGATCAATTCCAGATAGTTGAAGTCCTGCAGTTTTACAAATGCGAGTCGAGCTATATCGAAATTCAAGTTCTCCAACGCAGCGTGCCCCAGTTCTTCCCAATCTCCATCCGTTACACCTAAATTAAACATTAGTTTTAACAACTTGATTTCATATTAGATTAATATTTTTTACCTAAACACGCGACTTTATGGGCTTCGCTAAACATTTTCTTCTCAATGTATTGGTACATAGGAGCACTCAAGGGTAATTCAAGAGTGGTCATTGCTGATCCATTCAAACAAAATACTTTAGACCCAGTCAAACCCACAACGAAACCATTCAACTTCTGCCTGTGCGCTGGAAAATCTTCAACTTTTATCGATAATAAATTGGGTCCACTGAACGCCAACATATCTTCGTACTGGGTATTCCAAGCTATACTATTAGTATTTGGTTCCTGAAAGTGAAGGTGTAAATTATATTCTTTACTAACGACTAAATTATTTCATATGAAACCTGATACAATAAATCACCGTTTTTGGTATTGAAAACTTGACACAAGCCAGTCTCGTCGACCGCTGCCAACTTTTGCTTCCTCTGACTCAAATCCAGACATCTGATTGGAGCGTTTACCGTTACTTTGAGTAAAGGAAACGAGTTGTCCAAATGGACTTCCCAGACTTGTCCATTCTTCAAACCCAGAATAAGCCCTTCCTGCCTTGGAGGTCCTCCAATAATTTTAATATATCTAATAGGACTCTCCAAGATCCACTCCCTTTCTTGAACGCCAGCAAATGATAAACTCTGCAATTTCCTTTCTTGGCACACCACCAAATGCTCGCTACATATCACTAGCAAGCTGCAATCCAGCTTCTGCGTTATTTTCTCTTTAACTCTGTAATGCATATCGTTGGCATCATTCGAATACAGCTCGTAAATCACCACACGTTCGGGCAGTTGCACAGCCAATCGGTGTTTGTAAATCGCTATTTTCTTGATGAGATCTCTACATTTGATTCGCACCTTCTGCTCAGTTAATAAGTGTTGAATAATCACATCAGTCATATTCTCGCGGAAAGCGTACCTCTCTTTGAATAGACCGTGGACAGTGTTAAATGCTAATTGGTAATATGCAATAGTACCATCTTGGCAACCCATCGCCTAAAATTTGCAATTAATGGTATATAAAATAATTAAGAATCATTGCATTTTCTCTTACAATATAATTTCCTTCTGGATGGACGGCACAGCACCAAACCCAAGATTGCTGTTGATCCCCAATCATTCCCAGCTTAATTCCGTCTTTGGTATATATGTTGCAAGCCTTATTGCTTCCAGAAATCAAAATGTATTCGCCCTTCGGAAAATATTTCACTTTCAGTGCGTCAAAACCGACAACTCGTTCCTTCCCAATTAATTTCCCACCCAAAGTGTAAAATGATAATGTCTTGTTCCAATCAGTAACACATAAAGTGTCTTGATCATCAGATGAGGTGCTCCAAGAAATTGCCCATATTGAAGGATTCCCAGGTCTCTCAAATCTCCCTTTCTCTTCACCCAACTAAAAAAAAAGAAATAAATATATAATTCATTACACTTTTAATTATAATAATATACCTTATTTCTGATTGAAATACTTCCATTTCCCAGGGCCAAAGCCAAATACTGTCCATCATTCGTCCAAGCACAAGAATTGATCCTTGAATTAATCTTATGCTTCTGCACAGCTTTCTGCTCAGCACTCCAGAAAGCAAAATCAGTCAGAGCACAGGAAGCCAACTGATTTGATAGCGGGTTGTATGCTAAGCACTGGACTGCATCACTGTGACTGTACTTCAGCAAACCTTCCAATTTATTCGACCAAATGATCACAGTCTTATCTGAGCTACCACTTGCAAACTTCTGTCCATTCTTTGCATAGCACACACAGTACACAGTGTCCTTATGACCTTTCAGGGCTTGGATCAGAGTTCCATCAGTGGTATCATAGACCAATACTCTGTTACCACTGGCAACAATTAGCTGCGTACCTTCAGGATTGAAGCACAAATCGTAAACGCTAAAAGATGATGCATAAATAACAAACTGGCAACAATTCAATAATAATAATCACCATTGCTCCTGCTTCTCAACATCCTGTATACTGTCCGTCCATTTCGGAATCGTCCTCATCTTTTAGCTTTTAATTCTGCACTTTCAACAAAGTTTTCATAATTATTCTTTAACAATTTGTTGCTATTTCATGTTTCCTAGCAACCAATCTCTTTGACACTTGTAGGATCTTAGTTGTGCGTTTGGTTGCAGCACGAAAACAAATTTATAGTATTTACGAATTATACGCAAACAGATTACAAATATAGTTATTATTTTAGTAAATTAATTTATCAAAATTAATTAATTATAAAGATTTTCAGCATTTCCTTGAAGCTAGTCAGAAAGTTACGATACTAATAAATTAGTTCAGCAATACAAAATTAGATGTCGCATTTTTCATATATTTATAATTTACAAATATTTCTAATAGAATTAATAAACAGAAAGTACTAGAGAAAAGACATTAGAAATAAGAAATAAAATATTGAAAAATTATTTTTATTAAAAAGCAGACGATTAGGGTCTAATTAAGAATAAGTTTTATATTGAAAAGATCTTTATAATTCATTTATTAATCTATTAAGTTTGGCATATTAAAATTAATTTAATTGACAATACAAAGTGTGAACAAGTTGTAAAAGGAATATAAAAAGTTGTTTGGAAAACCCTTTTGTGAACTGTTTGCAATTAACTTCCAATTGTCGTAAATAATGTTTTCGTGCATTACATAACATTCGGATTTTCTAGGAAACACAATAATCCTCCTTTTGCCTTTGAGTCATCAGGCAGATGTTGCTTCGTCGCGCCTCCTTCCCCGAAAAAATGTTAATTTAAAATCTATTTCGTTTCATCGTCTTTCTTTGCTTTTTGTCTGTTGCTATAGATACACTATGTTGTTTTGTACCCTTAGGATGGATGAATGGGCTCGGGGCTAAATGGCTAAGTGTGATGGTGGGCAGACGAACGGCACGCGTCTGCCGTGCGGCCAGCAGCAGAAGATCAGAGGGAGGCGGTGGCGGCTGCTGCATGTAAAACCGTTGTTTCCCCCCTTTAAAGAGATTCTGCTCTGCTCGCCAGCTGTCGAGGGCCCCGAGACACAGGTAAACATCGTCTTAGAGCCCCGAAACTGCCATTTACCTCCAGGAGAGGCCAGATGCAACCTGGGCGCATTAACATTACCATGAAATCAAAACACCGCCAGCGCAAAATCATGTACATACATATACAAAAAGCGTTTAACATTTCAAAATCTCTTGTCGTTTTCCTTTTTTTTTTGCTTCTCATCTATGTTATTTCGCTTGTTAAATTCGTAAATGTTGTTATTAAATATTACCACTGTTTAAACAGTTCTCTCAGGAATTATACGAACTTTCATGAATTTTCGAAAGTGCAAATCTGTAAATAAACAAACACATAATTAAATAATTGTTTAATAAAAACGACTCATAATACAAATGTAATGTTTGAAACATTAGTAATTAATCTTGTAATCTCTTTGACTTAATTAATTTTGCATGTAGAATGAAACAGAAATTGTAACTAATGAAATGAAAAAGTAAATTTAATTACTATTTAATCTATTTAGAGTTTTGTATGTAAATTATTTGACGATCAACGTTAATGTTACATGTTCAAGAATTTGTCTTTATTGATTTGTAATTTGTACGATATTTAGTCGATTAATAATTCAATATCAAATAAAGCTATTTCTGAAGTTAGATGTGGAGAGTTAAACTGAATGACTATATTTCTAACTGGAAAGAGAAATAGAAACTGCGACGAATGAAATGATTATATAGTTATGAGCATGATTCGTGCTTCACGTAAAATATACAAGAGGTTTTAGCTGGTGATTTTAATCGTGCGTTTTCTATGCAGAAATCGAAAAGCAATATAATATTGACGCATATTGAAGGTAGTTAGTAGCGGTGGTGTACGTGATTATCGGAAATGTGCAAATGCATTAAGCGTTGGCAGACAGAGGAAAGCACTCAAAGCATGTGATTAAATGTGATTTTTCGTTCGGCATGGTCGCATGGAAATTCTCACGTCGCAACAATTTAAAGGCCAATCAAGAATTCACGGTGCCGACGAACCGCAAAAATTTCCCCCCCAAACAAAACGCATACATTCCAGGCGAAAAGGTCGTGACAATAAAAAAGAAAAGCGCAAACTAGGAGGACGTAATTTATTCGTAATATCTCCTCCTTCTTTCGTTACTTCCTCGGAATAATGAATGATTATCCCTAATGAATTTATCATCATCATCATCATCCTAGTCGCCTCTCCGCATACAGCAGCGAGCATCCATCTTCATTCGGATCGAACTGTAATTTATGAGTGTGCACTCTGTACATATATATATATATACTCTGTGTGCACTGTTCGTCTTGTTCACTTGGCGCGCAGATGCTGGCAGTTGTTTATGTAATTTTTAATTCTGGAATCGCACCTGCCCTGTTTATTTTTTTTGTTGTTGTTGTAATTCGCCGATGAAGAATGGGAACCCGCATGACTTTTCAACTGAAAGCACTCTTTTCTCTTCTCGCTGCACACTCTCCACCGCTTTGCCTTCGTCGGCGCGCCGGATTATTATTAAATAAAAGAAAAGAAGCCGCGCACGTCGTTATACACTCGGCACAATGCAAAAATCCAATTTGCACCGAATTAATTTGCGAATTGGGTTTTCGGAAAGAGAAAGAATGAAATGATGTGCGAGTAAGTAAGTAAGAGAATTATGAGATGAAATGCGGAAAGTAAATTAAAAGAAATTCCCTCGTCCTTTCCCGACGATTTCTCCTTCCTTCCTCATCTCTTATTCCTGCGAGCGGCCGTGTTAACTTTGCCAAAAACGTACTGCGCCGCCAACTACTACTCGAAACGTTTGGATGCAGGAATGTTTAAGCTTCCAATTAAAATATTTCCCTCGACGACGCTTGTTACCCATATAACTTTGTGGGCCTCTTTGTGTTTCTCTCTCTGTTGCTTTTGTCTTATTCCTCTACTCTTTAGCGCTCTTCTCTCTCTCTCGTTGCGGAGAACCGATGATAATTTTACGGGCAGATGGTTAAGGGCTTTAAATAAGAGCGGACAATTATAAGACTTCTTTCGCACTAAACCAGAGCTCCTCTGAAATGCAATCCGCGATCTCGCTTTTAGTTCTCAGGTAATTAACGCATTCAATATCACGTTTTACGTGACAACTAATACGCGTGAAATTGAATATTCTCGAATATTTTCAAGTCCTAACATTATGCTACGTTTAACCTTTATGAAGCCATTATTCAACACGAATTTATTACTATTACTCACTAACCTTTTTACATATGAAATTCAATAATTAACAAACTGTTTTTACTTCTTTTTCTCCATCAAAACGGACAACAAAATAAAGTATATTAATGTCTATATAAATTGAATAAAATGTATGTAATAAACGTTTTTTTTTTGTTTACAAAAATGCTTCAAGTTAGAGTTAGGTAGGAAACAAACGCGAAAGTAAATTAACCCCCAGATAATTACCGTCCGTTTCTTTTTTTCTTTCGCTCTTTATATACACACGAAACGTTTTTTTTTCCTTTCTACTTTATTCTACGTCCGAACGGGGATTTCATTTGCACGCCAAATGTTATTCATTTTTCTTGGCGGCGCACAAGAAAAAGCCCGTTGAGAATCGACTTGGGAATATGAAGAAAATGGAGAGAAAGAAAGAGAGGAAAAAGGTTTTTAATTAAGGGAATAAAATCAAAGGATTTTCTTCTTTGCTGTTTTCGCGTAATTAAAATAGCAGGATCCGACATTTATTTAGTAATGCGTTTTTCTCTTATTTTCTCGTTGCTATAGTAGTTGTTGTTGTTTTTTTTCAATTGTTTCGCATTGGTATAGTGACCTGAGAGGTGGAAGCGGCAGTCATAGGCGAATGGATAAGAGGAGGATGCGTTCGGCCTTTTGTAAAAGGGACCGGAAAAAAATGTGGGGTGAAGCGGGCGGCCGGAAACGTCGACTTCGCTTCGTACTTCCGCTCTTCATTTATTTTGTTTATTTTATGCCGTTGATACACAACCACCTGCAGCGAAATTATACAATCCGACTCGTTCACTACCGCAATAATAATGATAAAAAGGGAAGAAATAAAAAGAAAAAATAAACTGCATCGAATCGAGGGGGATTTTTGCTCGGAAGTTGAATATTTTCGAATGGGATGAGGGAAGATTCGACGCCGCTTCGATCACGTCTTCCGATATTGCCGCTTTTGAACAATTGCACATTTCAAACCAATCAGAAATCTCTTCATCGTCGCAAAAATTACTCATTTCAACGAAATTTGTACATATATTTTTTATTGTCGTGAGATTTCTTTATGGAAGTTTGCACGATTTATTATTCATTTTGCTCTTTGCATGGAGCATGAATTAAATATGTTTCAGTTTACGTATAGAGTGCATGATCTCCTTTTTGCTGCGAAAAGTTAACAGAGGAGTACAACTTTTTTTTACGACCCATAAAGTTGGCTGAATTAATGCATGCATAAAATATCGATTCGGCTCATTCAACAGACTGTTCGTAAAACATTTACGTAAAGCAATTGTAAGATTCTTATATTTTAGAGTATTTCTCAAAAACTACAAATGGTAGATCAAAGATTGAATACGATACTGAAAACTAAAACTATTGGCTTTAATATTTTTGCAAAAGTTTTTTTGTACCTCTATTGGCAATGCTGTTATACACTGTCAAACTTTAAACAACATGTTTTGAAAGTTTCTTGCGCAGAGTTTTTACATTTTTATATATATCTCAAGAAATACTAATGGCAGAATAATGATTGAATATGTAAATTAAAGCTGAAATTGTAGGCTTCAAAATGAATGACAAATTAATATTGATTTTTGCGTAATAAACTGACAAAACAAAATATAAAAAAGCACTGTTTTTTAAATTTTTGCTAGGAAAAACATCAATAACAGAATACAGATTGTACATTCAATTTAAAGGTAAAACCACAGAGTATAAAATGTATGTAAATAAATAATTGTGTCTCTGTTGATTGTCGTCGGGTTTAGCGCTGATTAAATTTAAAACAGTTTTTTATTTCAAATGAAACTTTTTGCTTTGCAATTGACCACACATACCAAAAAAGCGCGAGACCAACAAAAACAAGGATTTAGCAGGATCT